CTGCTGAAACAAATAAAATCCCATAGGTCTGTAAATTTGCCTGGAAGCATAGCTGTATGTAGGAAGATCCTGAAGGGTGCCTGGCATTTTGACATAGGTCAAAATGACTTGGTTTAGACTTGATCCTCAGGGTCAGACCAGAAAGGTGTTCATGTGAGCTTACTTTTGTATCTCATCACTTTTTAGCATGAGGGTATACTACAATGAACATACACTGGAAGCTTATATGTTAGCAGAAAATCAAGACTTGGGAAAAATTATAGTACTGATTCAAAAGAGTATAGACCGGGACCAGGAAAAGTGAAAGAACCAGGGCAAAGTCAGAGCTGATTAAGAGGGACTGCAATTCCTGTTGAATTTTGGAAGCAGTTGAATTTGAATAATTGTCAGTGCCAACTTCTCTGGCACTCCATATGCAGTGATGTGTTTTTCTGCTGTGTATTCTAATTTAGAGCATGACATGACTGAATACAAGTGATATATAAAAGCACTGCAATTTCCATGCTGTGATTGTTTGATTACAGTTTCATGTGCAAGGCCACCGCTGGTATCAGAAGGAGTTCTTCCATGAAATGACTTTTGAACTTGCCACACACAAGCAGGCTCCAGAAGTTTGTTTTGATTTGCAGCCAGGCACCAATTACTCTGTTAATATTTCCATGGTAGCTTTGAATTTTTCTCTGCTTGTTTCCATGACAACACGAATCACAGGTACGTCCTTCTATTTATTTTATGTATTTACAGAAGCATCTCTTGGGTGCAAAAGGCTCCAGTGAAACAGCATTGTTGATTTCATTATTGTATGGTGGGTTGTCAAAGTACTCTTTCCACGCTCAAAATTGTTCACTATTGTTTGTTTTCATTGATTTTTGTATGATTGACAGTCCAGCAGCAGAAGAGGGAGAGAAATGTGGGTGCAGTGTTTTGAGGTGTCATTTTGTAGGAGATAGTTCAATGGGTTAGACACAGGACTGGTATCTAGGGAAGCTGGGTGAAAGTTCCTACCCTATTACAGGCTAAGTCAATCTTTCTTCATTCTTTTCACTGAGTTCTCTTCACTGTGAAGTGGAGATAATAGCACAACTGTACTTTGCACAGGTATTTGTGACAACAGATAGCCCTGAAGTCTGTGATGATCCAAAGTACAGAGAGTCCTGCGAGTACCTCAGACAGATTACCGTCGTCTCTAATTGGTAGAGAGAGCATTCGAGCCAATAATGTTCTATAAGGAGAGTTTCAGCTTCACTGTTTAGCGAGATGTTAGTACAGCACCAAAATGCTGTGATAAAAAATATTGTGGGTTTTTTTTTTGTTGTTTGTTTGTTTGTTTGTTTTGTTTTTTTGTAGGGGTATTGTGTTTGGTTTGGTCTTTCTTTGTTGTTGTTTAGAACAGTTTTGTGCTATCAATTCTTTGTCAGACTGTATTATTACTGTTACACTGAAGCACAGCGTTTGGTGCTGGTATCATTCTTGCCATTGGGGCCACAAGTTGGAATAGGCAAGAAACAGGAAAGCTCTCTGAGTGTCTGTAGCTCTGTTCAGTCACTAGATGGAATGAGTTCTCTTCTGATTGCTCACTGAGACGGATTTGTGGTAATTTTGAAATTGAGAGTATTACAATATCTGTAAGAATAAATCTAGGGTTTATAAGATTCATGAAAGGCAAAATTTGTTTCCTGAAGCTACTGTTTAGGATATACAATGATCTGCGTATTTTCTTTAAATGAAATTAATGATTTTATAATTCATTTTTTAGAAGTTTCCTAGCTGTCACTCAGAAGTAGCATCCATGAGTTCATGAGTACATGTATCTTTCTAAAATCTAATATGCTGCCTCAGAATTTGCTTGCCTGGGGAACTTTTTAAATACACACTCAAAGTAAAGGCTCTTTACTCTGTCATCTTGTGATATTTCCTAAAGACTGCAGGATTGCATCACATTACTTATTGAGCACAGCTCAGGTCCTTCTGCCATTTTATAACTGGTGGTTACTTTTTCCAGTGAGCAACAAAAGGGAGGTGTTGTTCTGCCATTAGGAATCATCATCCAAAACTTGCCCTCCAAACACTCCATACTGTACTTTTTGTAATGGAAGCCAAAAAACAAAAGTAGGTCTTCTTGCAGCTGAAATTAAGTGAAAATTAAAAAGCTAACTGCAGTCATTCTACAGAGATCACCAGATGATGAAATTTGAGTAAGATGTGAAATTTGTTGTTATTTCAGTTTATCAAAGATGAAAAGGCTACAGTTAAAATAATTATTCTGGCAGTGTCCCCTGGACAGTGCCTTATGTTTCAGGAATTGTGTTATCTGTACAAGCAACCTCATTTATGTAAAAGCTACTTGTAATTTTAGAGTAGGTATATAATTTGCCACTTCATTTGTCTAGTTATTTTGTAATCATGTACATTGTTAAACCAGACAGTTGTGTTTCTATGACTGGATGGAATGACCTCAATTTCTGAAAAGTGTTTTTTGGCTCTGGTGATATTCTGGCTAAATAGTAGTGTATAATGGAAGGTTTGCCTTAAGCAGAGAGGCTTTAAGGAATCTGAGACTTACAAAAGTGCTTTACTGCTAAGGTACTGGAGGTGGCCTCATTCATTGTCTTAGGTTTCATATGGCATCCTTGAGCAAAGGCACTGTCTGTTTCCCAGCTGGGGGCAAATCCAGATGTTCTATCTCCCTGACTTCCACACACCTCTTGCCTTTTTGAAGTTCAGGAAATCTTAACTCTGGAGTTTCAGATACTGTGAAGAGACATGTCTCAGACAATTGGATGAACAATGCCTAACAGATTTAATTTCCTGACAAGGATGGTCACCTGCATAAGCTTTTAAAGGCTGTTGCACAGTACAGTAAGCATGTAAATGTTAGCACTAAGTTTGGGACTTTTGTCCAGAAAGGAATATAGTAAATGCACATTAAGAAAACAATTTCTCTAAGCTGTGTGTCTCTATCTGTATTTATATCTACTTATCTATAGTACATTTCTAAAGAAAAAAGCACAGCCTTTGAACTTAAAAGTCTGCTTTTTTCCCTGGCAAGCAGCATCATTTAAAAATAGTTCTGAACTAAGCACAGAGTTGCGTTGTCCCATCGTCTTGTGGATGGTAAATACAGCCTACCAAATGCTTTGTGGATCATTGAGATTCTGCTCCTGTCCTACTTCAGGAATAGGCATCTTGCACAAACTTTTATGTCTTGGCTTATTTTTGACAAGGTCTCAGCACCTGTCTACTTGAGACAGAAAACTGAGTCAATTATGAAAAACAAGGTAGTGATTATATTGTAGTTGTAAAAAGGTGGGAGCAGCATTGTCTTTTAAGCAGGAAGGAAGTTTGTGACAGTTTCCAAGAAAGGAAAAAAGTGTCTTGTGGGTGTAATTTCTCATTCACTATTTCTGTTAAGATTATGCTACTTATATGTGGCTGTGTTCCTTTTCCTTTTTGAAGATCTTTTATTAGGACAGGCTCAGAAAAAGCATTGTGCTTAATTTCATAATCTCTTTTCACGTGAATTTAAGAAGAATGCATTTTGTAACCACTTTAAAAGTGTTTGAAAAACAGAATACTAGAGAAAGAGCTAATGCTTTTGCTTCTGATACCCAACATAAGACTAACTTCTTCAGCAGAGCCACATTAAAATACTACTGATATTTGAGTCTTGTCTGCAAGCTTTGCTTTGGAATAGATTCTTCATGATGGATGTGACAAAATTGTGGTCTTTGGGAAGCTCATGAATGCCTGCTTATTTACAGGGTCTGACTGGCTTCTTCTAGTTTACAGTGGACGACTGTAACTTAAAAGACATCATATTTGAAAGACAGAAATTTTTCTGGGCACTAGAAAAGATCTTTTGTGCCTCAATTACTGGGTTACATTTCATTTTTGTAAAATAATTCATACTGGATTCAATGATGATTTCTCAATACTCTTTCTCCTCTGATTTTTTGCTTAGAATCAAGGTATATTTTGAGTTCGTTCTGTGTTTACTGTTTACACGTGCTGCAATTTCTTACCTATTTGTACTTGCATTTTCCAGTAGGTTTGGGCAGATTTGACCTCAAGCTGTGTACCTTAGGCAGTTATAGTAATTCCTGTGTTTCTGAGCTGCTGTTCCTGGTTTAGTCCAGGATATACCTGCAGGCCACATACTCTTGTGTGTGTATCCTCTCTGTCTTTGTGTGAACATGTACCACACAGAGTAGACTCAGAAGCAGGGAGTCTAGAAAGTGTTTTGAATAAGAAAAACAATTCCATCACATACTAAGTATAATTTTCTAGAGCCTTGCAGTTTTGTCTCAGTATGTGAAAAATTTAACTACATTACAAATTGGATCGTGATGTCTTAATTTGTTTGCCCACTCATGGAGGTACACACACACACACACATGAAAATATACATTATTGTAATTTTCTATTGTATGATAGGAAAGGCTTACACTTTCTTTCATAAAGGGACTTTAAAGTCTCGGGGAGGAGGGAGGCTCCAAATCTGCTTTCCAGTGAGGAAGTGAAAGACTGTTGAGACTGTTGGAGATGTGCTGTCAGAGTAAGCACTGTCAGATCACCACATCATGTACCTCCAGACAGACAATCCACTGGGGATCTGTTCCTCACACAAAGCACCAATCCTTGTCGCACCTACTGTAAGAGATACTGTGATCAGCTCTGAGTTATCAGGGCTTTTTGAGACCTGCCTGTAGAAAGGTCTGTCTCTTAATTCTGATTTCTGATGTTTTCTTAGTGGTCATAGATTCACAGAGTGGTTTGGGTTGGAAGGGACCTTTAAAGGTCATCTAGTCCAACCCCACTGCAATAAGCAGGGACATCTTCAATCAGGTCTCGTTGCTCCAGATGGATGGATGGCCCATCCAATCTGACATGGAGTGTTTCCAGGGATGGGGCATCTAATATCTCTCAGGGCAACCAGTTCCACTGTTTCCTCAGTGGATGAACTCTGATAAGAAAAATAATCTCATTCTAAAAAATCTCTTCCTTATAGGTGGTCTAAACTACCCTCTCTTCATTTAAAAACCTTTCCCCTTGTCCTATGTAACAGCCCCTGCTAAAAAATCTTTTTTATAAGTCCCTTTTAAGTTTTGAAAGGCTGCAGTAATGTTTCCTCAGAGCCTTCTCTTCTCCAGGCTGAACAACCCCAACTTTTTCAGCCTTTCTTCATAGGAGAGATGTTCCAGCCCTCTGCTCATCTTCATGACCCTCCTCTTGACCCGCTCCAGCAGATCCATGTCTTTCCTGTATTGAAGACTCCAGAGCTGGACCAAGTACTGCAGGTGGGGTCTCAGCAGATCAGGGGGCAAAGTCCTCATGGCCACACTTCTTTTGATGCAGCCCAGGGTGTGACTGGCCTTCTGGGCTGTGAGTGCACATTGCTGGCTCATGTCCAGCTTTTCATCCACCAGTGCCCCCAAGTCCTTCTCCTGAGAGCTGCTCTCAGTCCACTTATCCCCCAGCCTGTATTGATACCCAGCCTAGGTGTGGGACCTTGCACTTGGCCTTGTTGATCCTCATGAGACTGACACAGGACTACTTCTCAAGCTTGTCCAGGTCCCTCTGGCTAGCATCATGTCCCTCTGGTGGGTCAACCAACACTCAGCCTGGTGTCATCAAGCTGATGACTTAGATCCCAAGATGACTAAGGCAAAGCTGGTCACAGGTACACTCCTGTTTTGCTGAGCTGCCAATAG